AATGTTGGTGTTGTTGATTTTTCTGATTTTTTTAAAATAATTTATATATTAAGATAATCACAAACCATTATACATACACTTTTACATGATCAACAACCAATTTGAAGGGTTTCAACTACATCTAGAATGGATGGCTTGTGGGTTTTGAATTTTCCCTGGAAAATTTTTGGATATGCATAAAAAAAGAAAATGAGATGGACAAAAAAATCTAGAGAGGTTGAAGGTATACAAAGATGTGATGTAGATTTATACACATATATAACTTGGACTTGAAGTTTGGTATTGATTAGGAAGTCATAGGGGTTGGAGTTTTTGAGAGAGAAAGATAACAAAGGAGGGGTGGAATGGGACACTTTGATTGGAGCAATTTAAGTCAATAAGCACAAAAGGCCAAGTGGGAAAAGGTCAGCAAAGGGAGAGACGTATTCCTTGTGCCCTCCCCTGCTTTTGCCTTCCATCCCATTTCCACAAGAAAGAATGTTAATCCCCCCAAATAAAACACATTGTTAGGCAAACGTCACCTTCAAACACAAACACACACACACACACACCTTCCTTCCATCTTTGAAAGAAGAAATTTCTTTTTTGATATGTACCACCTTCTCTCTTCCTTCTACCAGATGATAATGTCTTACCTTTATGTCATCTTCACTCATAATAAAGAGGGGAACAAGAAATCCGTGAATTTCGCCTACTCAAAACCCAAAAAAAAAAAAAAAAAAAACAACCCCGAGTACCCATCTAAGCAACTAATATGTCCATGACAATGACTTTGCTGCATAAAAATTATACGATTCTAATTTTATTTATTTATTTATTTATTTATTTATTTATTTTCTCGAATTTTACATTTTCTTTCTCTCTCATCGTCGACCTTTCAAAAAAGTCGAGGATTAGATGCTTTTTTTTTTCCCTATTAATGACATGACTTGGAACATTTTTGGCTAATCACCCAAAGAAAAAAAATTCCAATCTTGCAGCCGAAAACGAGTGACCTCTCTTAATCATGGGTTGTAGTAATAATTTATAAGTGGGAAAGAATCTTTAACAAAAATGAATTCTTTATTTTTTTTGGGTTATTAATATTCCTCCATAGCTTATGCTAGCTATAGGAAAGAATATTGCATATTTTGCATGCTCCATCTAGGACACCCGTCGGTCCATATTGATTTGTTTCTTTGTTTATTTTTTTTTTTTTAAAAAAAATCAATTCCTCAATTAACAACGCTTGGATGAATTATAGACGTAAAAGATTAGTTAGAGGGATTGGTTAGTGGCAAGGGGCCCCTTTTCTTTATATGGGATTTGATGTATCAAGCAAAAGCATTATGAGAAGAGGGATGTAGTCAGCATAATCACTGATCAAAGGGCTTGAAGCCTTTCCATCAATTAAAATAATTAATTCATTTTTCTTTTTGCATTTTTTTTCTATAATTCCACAGTGATATGATGCCATCTCATGTATTCACATAGGCCACCCCCTCTTTTTTAATTTTTCTTTAATTTATTTTTAATGCTTTAACTTAGCATTTGCAATATTTTTTGTACCCCAAAGGCTATGATTTGAATTCCTTTGTTCCCATTTTGCTAAATGCCAGAATCCGAAGCTGAAAAACTTTGGTAGGAGCATTCCTCATATTTGTCTTGTTCACGTGTAGTTGAAATATAATATATTCTTGAATTACATAAAACGAAATAATTCTCATTTATCCTATAACTCAAACATTCTGTCATTTAAATTTAAATTAAAAAATATATTTATTTATTTATATGTTTACGAGATAATATTTTACCGTTAAATATATATATATATATTTCGAAGAGCTGAATATTATTCACAATTGCAAAAGAAACAGACGGAGTAGCTCCAGCTACTTCTCAAATTAGCAAGAACTATAGAACACCAAATCCTCTGCAGTGCGAATTCAATCAAAAGCCCCTACAAGTTCTATACATCCCCATTGCAGGAGGTTGGCATGATCTTCCCACAATCATATGAAGTAAGAGCATTCATGTCAAAAAAAAAAACCTCATGATAATATATAAATACTACATTCTAATAACGTATTAAATATAAATTCAAAAAATAATTATTTTTGTTATTAACAACTCTAAATACACGAGACCATGAGACACATATTAATCAAGTTTATTTGGTTCAAAGTTAGGACAAAATTAATTTCCAACACACGAAAAGCTTAAGAAGCTTGCATGTAAATGAGTAATCATGTCTGGAAATTTACTAAATAATTATATAATAAACCTTGAGCCGAAATCATAATTAGATTCATTAATCTGGGTGATTAGTGTTCCCACATCTTAAATCAACAACCACAAAGATTTTGAAAGAAATGGAAAAGATGGAGTTGAGGTCGGTCGATTAGATAGATACAAGGGTGCTTGTCATCAGCAGCAGCTCTTCTTTTGGTGATGAAACCTTTTCCAAGTCAGTGTGCTCCTCCCCACCCTCCCGGCCTACCCTCTCACTCCCTGTAGAGAGTTGAATACTTTGTTTTCTCTTCTTTTCTTTTATGGGTGCCTCCATGTTTTTCTCCCTTCTAGAAAAGAAGTGATAGAGATGCAATTAATGTAAATAGTATTGCAAACACATTTCTGACTTTAGATGTTGATAGCCCAACAATAAATAAAAGATGATTTGTGCAACTACAGTATCAGCCTACGCTATAACCCTCCCTAGGGTTTACTATTGCTGTAGCCATGTTCATCGTCTACTATAGGAAGTGTTTCCCTTGTCGGATTAAGACGTAAATGTATAGTTTTTTTCACTCGTTTAATCAAATTTTTAATATTTTAAGTAACGCTAATTAACAGTTACTGTATTTGAATAAAAAAACTTTTTATTATCAAACAAAACGAATTAACCGATTGAATTAATGCTCTCTCTATTATTATATGTATATTTTTTTATTATTAAAAATCAAAACAGATAATTTATTTCAATTCCCAAACTAAATGTAAATATGCAGTTTTTTCTTTATCGACCGATTTTTGAACCGAGATGAATTAACCGATCGAATCAATCCCTTTACGCTAACAAGATTCATGAACCTAGGGCATTAGATGTATATAATTTTGTCCGGGGGACCAAGGTTTCCCCCCATTGGAATCAGGTTCTGCGAGGAGAGAACCAAACTCAGATTTGATTGACATGGAAATGGGAGCATGCATGGTTCATTACAGGGTTGGATCAGTTGCAATGGAACGGAATCAATGCTGCCTTTTCCGGTCACAAAATTGGGATTCAATCCCTCCCCCCCAAAAGCTTGCTTTCCATTTGCACCCGTGGCTTTGCTGTCTCTGAAAGAAATCTTCTTCTAATCTTCTTTGAGAAGCAATGCGTCGTCATGGAAGTTTGCGTAGCTGTTTCTTTTTATTGGTAGAATCTCAGCCATAATAATATTAATAAATAAAATTTTAATTAGAAAGTGCAAGCCTGTTATAACATGTATAGGGCAACTGATCATAACCAACTTTTGTAACGATGTTGAGGAACCCTGAAATTTCCTTAGCACAATCATGGGTGATTGCCCAGTGGTTGGTGTGTGTCCCATATCTTAAAAGAGCTAGGTTGTTTTCCCCTCTCCCCTTTTACAATTGCGAAAAGGGCCACCCTTAATCTAAAATCACTTGATAAATCTAAATATGGAATAATCAAATCTCTCGAAATAACGTTATGCAAATTTAAATATAAATTGATATAATGAACTTTGCATCTTGCTTTTTTATAGAAGAGAGAACGATTATTAGGTTAACTTTGAGTTTTATTCGGAAAAATTATGTTCATTTAAAAAAAAATCAAAAACTCTCTATTGAAGAGGTAACAATAATTAGATAAAGTCTAAGTTATATTAATGTGAATTGTTATTAGTCAAGAAAGATGCTTAAAGTTAATGATCAATATAGTCCCAAAATGGTACTCAAACCCCTGGGGCCATGAGGGCTGTTGTGTTATAAGTATTATAACCTTCCAAAGTTCAAACCAATAAGCCAATAAAACATTAATATTATGATAATCATTTCTTTACATGACTTCAAACATACTTTATAAGCACTTCTTATAAAATTTACTATAGAAAAAAAGTATAGGTTTTCGACATATACTTCATCAGCATAAATTTTATCAAAATTTTTAATTATTCGTAGATGTCGATAACACGATTTTAATGCTTTTAAAAATAAACATGGTCATCAAAGTTTTGATAACATCACAATCATTATTGAATTGGTTTTGATTTAAAAGAAAATAGGCTTTCGACATACACTTTATTGACATAAATTTGATCAAAATTTCAAATTATTCATAAATGTCGATAACATGATTTTAATACTGTTGAAAATAAATATAATCTTTAAAGTTTTAGTAACATCGTCATAATTAGTATTAAATTAATTTTTTATTTAAAAAAAAGAATTTGAATAAAGTTTTCCGAATAATTAAAAAATACGTACATCTACTATTGAATCAAATTCTCGCGGAATCATTCAGCATTGTTAGGGTGAAGAATTGAAGATTGTCCTGTCAGAACTTAGAAGAAGTAATAAAAAACTGATGAGGGAAACTATAAATTAATTGGGAGGGCCCATGTATGGGCCCATTAAACATGAGAAGGGCCTTTGATCAAAAGACTGAACCATGGGTCATTGATGAAGCAAAAGCCGGGGGCCCCTTGTTCGAGCAAGAGGCTGACAGTTTCCGGCGACCGTGGCTTTTGTTTTTTAAATGAGAGGGGGAAAGGGCGGGGGCTAGTTATTGACTCACTGATCATCTCAATTTAATTAATTTATTTCAAAAACATTTATATAAATAATTAAATATCTTCCGTATATTTATATTTAATTTAATTTAAAAAAGTGCATTTTCATTATAAAAAGTACTAATTGGGCCTAATTGTGGGCCTATATTGGATTTTATCTGCATAAGCAAATTGGGCTATATTCAGTCAGCCTGAGACCCGGCTCAATGGAATACAGATGGAAACTTTGTTTATTTCTTCTTCATTAGACGAAAAATGTATTATGGGTAGTTGCAAAAACGGCAGAAGTAGGAGAGTTTGGGAGTTGACAAAACCCAAGTTTAGATCAGGTGCCAAAAAGGGGGAAGAACAGATGAAGATCATTTTTTGGGTGTGTTTAGTGTTTGTGATTACTAAAGTTGGTGCTTTGTCTGAAGAACCCCAGCTTAGTTCTGCTCGTGTTGTCTTCCAGGTTCTTTCTTTTTGTAGTAAATGATACCATTTAATTTGCTCTTTTTGGTTTCTGGGACTTGGGTCAAAATGGGTTTTTGTCTTTTTCATTACTTGACTTGTTTCATATATGATATGTTGTGAATTATGGAAAAATATGGGACTTTTTTAATGGCTGTTAATGGTAGTACTGAAAAGGTTCCTAACTCTTATGAGCTTGTTTGAAGTTTTCTGAAGCATTGCTTGTTGTAATGCAGACAAATTATGGAGACATTGAATTTGGATTCTTTCCAAGTGTTGCACCCAAAACTGTTGATCACATTTTTAAGCTTGTTCGTCTTGGTTGCTATAACACCAATCACTTCTTCAGGGTACGTGGTAGAACTGGGAAAAAAAAAAGGATCTTGGTTGCGAAGTTAGTTGATTAATGCGATTTTGTGATTTGGGTAAGAATTATAATTATTTTAAATCTGTTGCAGGTGGACAGGGGCTTTGTTGCCCAAGTGGCAGATGTTGCAGGTGGAAGATCAGCTCCCATGAATGAGGAGCAAAGAAGGGAGGCTGAAAAGACTATTGTTGGTGAATTTAGTAATGTAAAGCATGTGAGAGGTATTCTTTCTATGGGGAGGTAAAAACACTTTATTATTTTGTGAGTTCATGTTTAATTTAATACTTATACCAAATTTTTTGCATAGGATTTCTCAGTTTGATGGTATTAATTATTGTTGCAATATGAAAGGGATTTGAGCTGTAAATGATTAAGCATCTAGAAATGTATCTGAGTTTTGTATATGCTGCTCAAAGTATCAGAGATATTTAGTAGGCTAATGGGCTTGAGTATATGTGTAAATTTTCTTTCAAGCTAAATGCTAAGCTATGAGATTGATTTATTGATTTCTTTTCGAAATAATGCCTCTGAAATTGTGCACTGATTGGGTGCTCCCTTAGGTAAAATGATCTCATATGATATCCTAATAAGCACCACATTTTTATGAATGAGACTTGGCATGATCTCAGTGGTCATGTTGATTAACTTATGATTGTAAATTATTTCATGGGTTATAAAGTGACCAGCTTTTAAATTAACAGTAAATAATGATGGTTAGATATCTGTTCAGGATTTCTGCCGTGAATTATGAACCATGTTGGAGGAGTTGTTTGTGTAATCATTACTCTTCTCATATTTCGCATGGAACTCCTGAACCATGTGTTAGGACACTAGACTAACTTGCTACTTATATTGAACTTTTCTAGCCATAATCTTTCTGAACTTTCTCTGTTTCTATAAACTTTTGATGTAGTAATATGGCAACATGTTTTGCTTTGGTGTAGGTATTCTGATCCAGACAGTGCACAATCCTCATTTTCAATGCTTCTTGGAGATGCCCCTCATCTTGATGGGCAGGTATTCTAGTCACACATGCTGGGCATCATTGCAAATGATTATATGACAAGATGGCATACTTAACTGCTTCTGTTTATCTTTTCAGTATACAATTTTTGGTAAAGTCACTAAAGGTGAGGAGACTTTGAGAAAGCTTGAGGAACTTCCTACTCGCCGTGAGGGGATCTTTGTAATGGTAAACATCTGATACTTCTGTTTTTATTTGTAATGCAAAGAAAATTTATTATTATTTTTTTTTACATTTGATAATGATTGTCAAGTTGGATGTATCTCTAACAACCTTTAACATCATATTGTATTTTCAGCTTCCTTGACAGTTAGATATTTTTTGTTATAGCTTTATGGCACCATTTCATTCTTTTTTGCAAAGAGGGACTTGCCCTTTTTTAGTTTTTTGTTTTCCTAAACAATCTATTTACCTGTATAAAGAGGGAAAATGAGAAAAAAAACAAGAGGGGAAACACTGAGTCTGTGAGTCATGCAAGTTCCTTTTGTAATCATATGACTTTCACCATGTGATGTAAGATCTTGATGTATCTAGTTAAGTGGTCTGTTATGAATCTTACTATCTTCTTATTTAACACCCATAAAGCGGAATGTAGGACAGAAAGCTGTCCTCTCCTGTTATCTCTGTCTTTATTATTATTTTGTAACTATGCCTGTAAGTTATATCAACAAAATTTGCCCCTTACTCTAAGCCTCTAACTAATTAGTCAGATGTAGCAATTTTGGATAAATGTAATGGTTATTTCAGTTTGTGGCTGATTTTAATCCATGTCACTTCTTTCTATTCTGTGAATACTAATTTTTGTCTATTTATCTTCTTCCAGCCTAAGGAGCGCATCACGATTCTGTCATCCTACTATTATGGTGAGAATTAAGCAGCCTCTTATGGCTTTCTTGTTCTAGGAACCCTGCATTTTCTATATTTGGTGTCAAGGATGGACAAGGATGCATTCATATTTTTAGTCATTAATTCAACATTATCTGCATGTGTTTTTTACAGTTACATAAACCATTCCAGAGACAAGAATTTAATCACTATATTGCCTTTGAAAATGCTTGCGTGGATATTGTCAAGCAGGTGATATGATATTGTTATCAGGTAGTTCTCCCAAGATGTGAAATTAGTAATTATGTTGGGCATCATCAACAAAATATTAGGTAAAAAGAATGCATTATGACTGCATGTAGTTTTTCCTTGTTTTGGGTTTTCTTGATGTCACAAGCACTTAATATACTACAAAATTACTGAGCTCAGTCCCTTTTTTTTCCCCAGTATATATTTGGATGAGGAATGGAAGGTTGCATTTACACCATTCAATTGTACTACCCCTCCACCAGGAAGAGAACCGAAAATCTTCAGATTACAAAAACATATCCTGGTATCATAAGATAAGCCATTATGGGATCTTGGAACAACCCACTGACCCTTTTATTACCTAAAGAAAAATCAATCACATCCTACTTCTGGAAAACCCATATTTGGTTGCTAATATTTGAGATTGGTTACCAAAGAAATGGAGAGAAGTATAAAAGTAAATGGAAGAAATAGAACGTGTTGTTCTATTAAGAAATTTCCCTTTTGGGATCATAAGGTCAAAATTTTGGGTGATCTGTGATGACTAGAGAGATCAATTCTTGATGACATCAAAATGGTTCCAATAGAGGATGATGGTTAGATTGATGACAATCTGGTGTAATGGAGTTTTCACTTTCCAATCTAAAAATTCCTTGGACAAGGGCTACGTATCGGCATGGTATAATTGGACGGTGTAATGATGGGTTTTAGGCCTCAATCCAAATAGAATTCAAAGACACACAGACGTGTTCAGAATAGTTTTCATTTTCACCTTCTTATAAAAACTTTTATTCTGTTTAAAGATTTAGAGCTATTGCATGATGCATTTTAATATTAAGTCCATATCTTGTTTTCAAAGTAGTAGTCCATAGGATCTGACAAGCTATGCCTGGGAGAATCATTCTAGTAACTAGGTTCACTGTGCTGCTGCTAGAAGAATCCTAAGACATCAAATTGCTTAGCCTGGTTGATTCAGTGCATCTGTCATGAAACTTTTATTTTGGAACTTGACTAAGTGGTTTCTAGAAGTAAACTTTAATTCATGGATCAAGGCAATCAACTTACTGGTTTTTTATGATGACAATTCTTAGCCTAGAAATGTGAGATCAACTTAAACACAATTCATATGCTTGCTTGGCATGAGGTCTCGTCTTTGTCCATTTATTTGTTGCTCAACTGAACAATTAATTACTGGCCCAAAGAAAAACCAAACAATTTATTGTATATGACTGAAATGGACTAATAACTTGTAGTATTACTATATGGAGATGACAACCTAATTGCTATTTGAATCATTCGTATATACTGTTGTTATTCTGTCATTTTGGATACCTTTCAGCTCATTTATTCAGCTAGAAGCTAGTGGGCATATAAGAGCAGTATTGTGTGTGAGTATATGCTTTTAAAAGAGGGGTAAAGAGGGGGAGGAGTAACCTTCTTGAATGCAAAATTTTATGAGCCTCACCTGATAATAGATGGTTGCGACATCAAAGGGGCAGCATACTGCTTGTGACTTCCGCATTTTTGATCTGGGATTTCTGGATATACTCAGTCTTATGTCACTTGTAGACTGGCTGTTCCACCACTGGAGCCTGTGACTTCTAGGTCAAAATGGAGCAACCTTAGCTTTGCACAATGGCTTGTTCTCGTTGTCAGACATTGTGGCCTGTGTAATAATCTATGAAGGTTAATAGCATCGGGTGTGTCTGCGTATGCAGCAGGAAGATTAAAGTTATTACTTATAACTGATTGACAACAATACCACATGCCAATGCACAATGTTCGTACAATTTAACATAAGCTACTCATAGTGTTCTTTCTACTTAATTTTTACATGAAAACAGAAAACTAATAATAACGAAATTATGTCATCCACACATTGTAAATTTTACTGTTACTCTTTGATTTTAGATACTGAGATGGAGAGCTGTGAAAAAGAGAGGGGTATCTTGAAGCGAAGGCTTGCTGCATCTGCTGTTGAAATTGAAAGACAGGTGATTTTAAGCCCCGATTAACATGTAATTAAAATTGATACCATTTGATATTCTCTTGGCAAGCTTGGACTAATCCTGTGCCATTGCAGCGAATGAAATGCTTCCCTTGAATTTCTAAGCAACAGCTGGATCAGCAAGGAGAAGGCTATGATTCACATAGGTTGCAAAGACGTTCTGGGTGTTGTATAAAGTCAGAGACAGCATTGCAGATGCGGAATTCTGGTAGAAAAACAGTGACCAACATGCGTTCTATACTCTGTACCTAGCCGTTCCAAACAAAGGATGGTAAAAGAAAGAAAGAAAGTGTATCTTGACCTTAATCTGTTTATAGCTTCTTCTTGTGCCGAGGATTGGCTGTTGTGATAATGATTGGTTGTTGACGTAGTGAAGTTCTGTCACTTTCTGGTCCTAATAATAACCCTATGAAACTAAGAGAGTGGTGTACATTGTATTAGCCCGGATGAATGAAACCAACACATTGGTGTCTGGGGAAATTTCAAAATTTGTAAATCAGGTTCACATCTTTTCCTTTAATAAAATGGTCCTGAGAGTGAGTAATTCCCACTGGCAAGGAATTTGCAGGCAGTCTCTTGAGAACGGTTGTCATTTGTTATTGCAGAAAAGATTGAAACCCAATTTTGATGCAAAACCGAGTGGTATATTGCTCTATTTTCTACTTACTGAGGGCAGAAATCCCTCTTCATTCCAGACAAAGAGCAAGGTTCATGACCATAGTTGTTTCATGGTACCTTCACATTGAATTTTTTTACTGTTATACCAACATCCGAGCGGATAAGATATGGTAATGCAATCAGAGGCAAAGAACAGAAGAAGATGAAAGGGAGGAAGAACGGTGTTGAGTGATTGAATTCACCTTGTCAAGATCAAACATTGACTTTTGATATGTCTATGGCCCTACAGCAATATGGGGATCATTTCATAATCACATGTATGATTGAGGAAGCTATAATTTCGAGACAGCGACCGTGACTCTCCATGTATTAACCGTTTCTGTTGTCTCTCTGCACTTTCACTTGTGCCACATTTCCATCAGCACAACAATCTCGAAATGTTCATAGAGAAAACATTACATGTGCCGCCTCCTGCTGTTTTCTGAGAAACCCAAACTGACTTTCTTCACTTATTGACAATTTTGGATCCTCTCGTCCCATTTTTCTGCCTAGAACATGCAGTCCCCATTATTCATCCTTCACCAGGTTTTGAAAGCTTCATCAACATTGTTACCATCTGAAGCAAAAATGCCGTCAAAAAAAAAAAAACACCTGAAAAGAGTTGCTGAAGCACACAGCATATGCCATTTGCCATCATGAACAGGTTCAGTTTGTTGTCTATGTTACATGTGCTCGGGTAAGGGTGTTTGGGCACAGGTTTGTTATGAATTTTATAATTTTTGATAATATTTTTAAAAATTAAAATGTCATATCCATATGAACAGTGAAATGTTTCAAAAAATATAGAATCCGTGTAAGTGTGTGTAAATGGATCACATGGTTTGAAAATGACAATTTCCCACAAAATTTGACATCAAGAGATGGAAGAGGGGGAGGGCTAGAATGTGATGGTGAGTCCCATATGAAAGCAGTCTCGCCGACTTTCGGGCAGCTGCAGTCTTAGGATGCATCACTTTAAGGCTTCAAGATGTCTCAAACAAGGCAGAGGGGAACACCCCACATGGGTGAATGGCAAAGACAGTGGCACAAGGGTTTGATTTCCGAAAGATCAATTTCGGACCACATGGTCTTTTCTCTTTGGCTGTCCGGGTTGGCTCCTTCTTAGGTCAATTTTCAAGGGGATTGACTATCTTCAGACAACAAAGCTAACAGTCACATGAAATATGAAAGCCAAAACATTCACATTTTAATGTCTGGTTACCCATATCGGTCCAAATGCATCATGGGCTATTGCAATGGTGGCTGATCATAGCTTCAAAGCCATGGAAAAACACAATAAAGAAGAAGAAAAAAACCTATGGAACTAGGAAAGAAAGGAAGTTATACTCAATTTTTATTTATGATTCGTTTTTTTTAATTTCATTATTTCGAAATTATCTTGTATTAAAAATTAGATGTTATAAATTAATATTTTATTTTATTTTCAAATTATCATCTACATATCACTTTTTTATTTTCAATTATTTATATCGAAGTAGATCTTATATAATGACTTCATTAGCCTGACGTTATGTTGATGTAAGCTTTTTTTTTTCTATATGAAAAATTTGGAGAAAGAAGGAGAGAATTAGAACTATTTCACCAGCACTTGGAGGGCAAAGTTTTTGTGGTGGTTGGCAATGCATGAGGACTAGGAAATACAAAGATTTAAAAGAGGAACAGAGGCTGCTTGTCTGGGGTTTGAACTACATCAATTGGTCAGCCGTTTGGGCTGCAAATGGCCAGTCTCGTGGCTTGCCATGCTACTCATTGACAGCATCGGGGCAACATAAATCTGTCACATGGCTGGCTCCGCCATTATTGCTGCTTGCGGCCATCCATGAACCAAAGCATATACCCAAAGTTTTACTTTGGTCATTCTTCTGAAAACCCTTTTGCTTTGATCTCCCGAACGTGGTCTAAACTGTCATGGTTTCTCCTTGGCGGGGACGCCATGGTAAAAGAGTTCAAAAGTTTTTCCAAGTTCCAGGTTTTGACAGCAAGATCTCTTTACCTAAAAGGGTTGAAAGAATTGAGTATAGACAGCTACCATTTACCTTCAAGACCTCGCCTTGACATGAATAAATTTTCTTTTGCTAATTTGGTCGGGTTCCTAGGGAGTTTTAATATCAAAATTCGAAAAAAATGTACTTAAAAAATTAGATTTGAATTTCTTTTAATAAAAAAAATTCTATTCTGTTTAAGCATTGTGTATAGTACTTTTATTTTTATATGATTGAATTCGTAATGGATAGTGTAACAGATTTAGATATCGAGACTTACGTTCTGATATTTTAATTTTTGTATCGATTTTGGTATTTTAAGCAAAGCTTTTATGGTTTAGAGAAAGAAAAAAAAAAGGGTTGGTGGGAAGTAGGAACTGCTAGGTAAATCAATGGTAGATCATTTGTATATATACTTCTATATATGGTTCAATGTTTGGCTTCTTCTCAAAGGAAACGTGACCAAAGCAAATAGTTAGAACATCCTACCAATTTTGATCAAATTTTGAGCAGTAGTTCTCTAGGGGGACCATTACATGGACAAAGCAGCTATTTCAACAAGAAAAACATGTTCGGAGAACAAAGAATAAGATAAAACCTACTTGTCTGTTTTTTGGGTATGCCCCTAGGGACTATGCAAAGGGTTAGACTCAAAAATAATTTGGCCACGAGAAAACTTTATTATCTTATAAATATAACGGTCCATTTTTCTTTCTTCAGCTATTTCGTTTTTCCTGAGTATTTTCTAACTGAATCCAACAGTGTATTATATTCTGTTTATAAAGCATGAAAATGTTCGTCGAAATTTAAGAATGTAAGATAATTTTTTAAAAAATAGGCTTTTCACTGTTTCCTCTCTAATAATTTCGGATCTCTTATATAATTAATGAATGCTTTGAAAAATAGATCATGATGATAAATTAATTGTCGATTACTAAATATATAGATCTAAAATCAATTCAAATTTCATGCTGTTGTCGTGAGCCTCCCCTATTGGAAAATTAGGTCATTGCTGGTCCTCCATTTCAAAAGAGATTACGTGTAACATGTGCAATGGGCAAGTAAAATATTTGCAAATTCCATACAAGAAGGAATACCCCTCTCTCTCTCTCTCTCTTTATATATATATATATATATCAATCATTTGAACAAGTATTAAAGAAAACCATAAATTAATTCGAATTTCTATATTTAAAAATCTTGTAATAAACCTGAGAGAGAGAGAGAGAGATCAGTGAGCTAGATCTCTTTCTTGGTTTCTTCTCGCTGACATGCTTTCGCATTCAGTTATAGATATTGGAACTCAACTCTTTGAGATCTTGAAAAATCTGATCCTCAATTGCAACTTGGTCACTAAATTAAATATTGTGCTCAAACTCTGAGGGTGATTATATATTTCTTCAAAGATCTTTCAGGAATCTAATAAATTAATAATATTCATTATTAACTAGTAGATTCTACTTGCAATTTGGACAATTCCCAACACCACCAAGCTATCTAATAATCAGAACTTATATATAGATGTTGATATGGGCAAGCTTAAAAGTGCAAAATCAACTAGCATCCTGTAAAGAATGGCAGTTTTTCTTCACACACATGATGCTGTCAGCAGAAAATTGATATAAAAATATAGATGAGATCATGTGGTGAAGAAAGAAATTGTGGGTTATATTGCTTGTTCCTACTGGTATCTTGCTAGTTGCTACTGACAACTGAAAATGCTTTGCAACTTCATCATCCCAATTTTAAAATATAGATAATTAATTGAACAAGGTATATATCTTGTTATTGGAACTTTCAGAGAGACAAATTCTTTAGCAGACGGCTTCAATTATTTTTATAACATATGAAGAAATGTCTAGCCAGTTTTTTGGCAATTGATCATTTATTTGATCAGAGTATAAAACTTTCATTAACTTAAATAACTTGTATCTATGAGATCATCACTCAAAATGAAGGAAAACATATATGTTTAGTACAAATTGATCTAATACATGAAGATTTACCCACCCATTTTCAATAAGCAGTAATTTGTGGATTTGACTATTGAACTTTTTTTTTTTTAACTTATAGTACATAATTTGACATCTCTAATTCTGTTATTTATTATCTTTTCCATATTGTTTCTATCTATATATTATGAATATAAATTAAGATAAAAAATAATTCAGATTTGATGTAATGTTTATTATTTCTTTTTAAAATTATTTATTATAAATAAATATTGATTAAGATAAAAAACAGGCTCAAATTAACTTGACTTAACGGTTATTATTTCAGTTAAGAGAATTGAATTCTATGGTTTAAGCTCTTCACCTCCTTAAGGCTTCCTCAAATGTATCACTCTAGAAGAATGAACAATGAAGACATTGATTTTGCTCTTTAACCCTATTGATTGCACATTCAATAGCTATAATAAGCTGAAACTATAGTTCTCAAGAAACCTTGCCACCAATGATATCGGACATTAATCAAATTTGTCAACTATATTACTATCAGAAGTCAATATATACCAACAAACAGTCCTAAACTATTTGAGCAGGAAGATTTGGTCTGGCAAAGCTGGTGTCATTCCTCCATGGTTGCCTGGTTGTATGCCGATCACCATGCAGAGAAAAGATGGTAAATTTAGAGACCCAAACTCAAAAGTGTTGCCAAGTACTCTTCAATTGTGGTACTCCCCCACCGGCCATAAGAACAATTGGGAAGAACTAGCTTTTCTTGATCAGACAAATTAAGTACTTTGGGTGATCATCGATCTCTTTGAGATTTAAACAGTTTGCAAATCATTTTATCTGTGCCCACGTGTTTATGTTAACCTTTACGACCTTCAATGGTTGTTACATGCATGAATTTTAGAGGTCACATGGGAAGGAGGGGGCTCTTAGATGCAAAGCCCTTCAATCATTCAACAGTGCAGCAACAAAACTTTGACTAAGGAAAATTGTGGTACTGTAGATCGGCATGAAGGATACCCTGTCAAAGCCCGTTAGTCAGGTTATAACTGAGCTTTAAGTTGCTAATTATCTCTGAATCAACTTTGAATTAGGTCCACAATTAAGGCTGTTTGTCACGTTTCATGGCTCATCAAGTACCGACCCGACGACTCTCTGACCAATCTAGCTTTCTGCCTGCAGGAATCTAGCCGGGAAAAGATGCAACATATGATATCACGTGCGGACGTGGAAACACACCTAGCTCCTTTTTTACTACTAATTCAATTCATTGTTATAAAATAAAATTATTTATTTTATCCGTCTCATTTTATTTGTCCATCTTTTTTTTTTCAATTTTAGATACTATTTTTATAATGAAAAGCATTAAACATCTATATAGTAAAAAATTAGAAAATATGAAAGATAATCTTTTTCATAAACTTAATTTAAAAATATCATTTATTATAATTTTAATTATTTTTAATCAATTTTGACATGACTTGACAACAATACCTTTTAAACAATTTCAGATAAATTAAAATAGTTTTGATTTTCTTTATCTCAGATAAAAATTTTAAAATTAAATCTCGATTTTTCTTTCTTGTTAAACATTGTCTATCTCACCATCTAGCTCTTTCTTTCTATCTCAAAGAGTAGAGATGACATAGATTCTTGGATTTATTCGTTTATATTCATAAAGCTTCAAAGTTAAGCGATTGAAATTGATTAAACATATCTGTAAATTAAAATATTATATGACTTTGACAACTTAAATCTGATTGTGAGAAAAAAAATCAATTAGTTATTAGGTATTGCATTACTGACTTTTAGACATTGTGTCATTAATTTTTAAGTATTGTGAGATTAGTTTTTAAATATTGTGTGACTTAATCATTACGCTTTTAGTTTTTAGGTATTATGTAATTGGTTTTTAGGCATTGTGTAACTAGGTTGTAAGCATTGAGTGACTAATTTTTAGGCAATGCCTAAGTCACATAATTCCTAAAAACTAGTCACATAATGCCTTACTAATTAGTTACGCAATGTCATATCAACCAGTTACATAATATCTAAAAATTAGTCACACAGTGCTTAAAAATTAATCGTGTAATATCTAAAAACTAGTTACGTAATGCTTAAAAATCACAAAAACTACTAATTCTATTTAACAAAATCAACAACTTCAAATAATACATCATATTCCATTTAACAATATAATCAACTAATATACCTACTTGATGAAGAATGCTCAAAGGTTTTTTTTCATCTATTAAAAACTACTCTAAAATGTTTAAAATGCTCATAAGGTTTTTTTCGTGTATCAAAAATCACTTTAAAATGCTCAAAATGTTTAGAGTTTTTTTTTTGTATAAAAAATACTATAGACATGAAAGCTCAAAAGATATGAGTCGGTTTGAGATGCGAGTCTAATCATATAAGTCGATTTTATTAAGGGTAATTTTATTCAAAATTAATTTCTTTTAATTAAAAATAGTTAAAATTATAGAGATGACTATTTCAAAAATCACTTTATTTAGGAGAGGAATTTTTAAAAATAATCTTGAAAAAATTTTAAATTTTAATATAAAATACATTAATCAAAATTTTTACCTTAATTTTCGTAAAAATGAAAAAAAGATAAATATTTACAAGCGAAAAAGAGAGTAATTATTACATAGTCTGAAATCTAATCTCCGTCAAAATCAAATGGGACGAAATATATAAAAAAGGGAGGAAATAATTATTTTATAGTGTTCAATCTAAGTGAGGTAAGATCATTCCCTAGATAACCAAAAACTAGGAAACTTTTTGAACTGAGATAATATATTCTATAATGCCCAAAAAGATGTGCTATTAAGGACTATACTTTAACCACCCCCAAAGCTTACTTCACCCCAAGAATTATTTTTTTTCTCTTGTCTAAGAAAGAACCAAACTTATATAATATAATAAAAATAATATAAAAATAGTATGGAATACAAGAAAAACGTTGCCGAGGAATAGAGTAGGGTGCAACGCAGAGGTTACGAGACGACACGTGCCATGTCGTGACCAAAATTATGGAAGAGATCATGGGAAGAAGAAGAAAGGACAATAAAAAGCTGACTGGTCAACAATGTCGATTGCCTTCTACCTTCCCAATTTGCTCTCTCTCTCTCTCTGGTTACACATTGGCTGAAGAGTACAGAGATAAAATAATTAAAAAAATGAACAAAGAAAGAAAACAAAGGAAGGGTGTTGGGTTTTTGTTTTGGTATGAAATGAAAATGAAAATTAATATGTAATATATATATACAGTGATATTTATAGGTATATAATTCAAATGACAGGAAGTAGTAAGATAACGTGGGCTTGCGTGCTAAACTGACAGAAGGGAGGCCCGCGGAGTTGAGTGATTATCGAGCACATTTGCCCTTAACCCACTTGGGTACTAACCCCAGTTTGGGGACACACAAGAGAAGGACAGTATGGCGTATCTCTCTACTTTCTTTTGATTCCTCTCTTTCACTGTTTCTTCTCTCCCCTGTACATGCACGCGCGTATATACATACATATACAGTATTAAAAAGAAAGAAAAAAAAAAAGAACTACTTAGAGGAGAAACCCTATTTAATGAGCAGCATAGCCCACTGCTTTCTTCCATGCAATTGTCTCTTGTTCACTATCTAGCATCGGTTCTCTAGCTTTCTTGATCTCTTTCTCTCTCTCTCTCTCTCTCTCTTTTTTTTTTCTCTTGGTTTACCTTATCTCCTCTAGTCCATAACTTGTGTCTTTTAGCATTTCTCGTTTGCTTTCATCAGCTTGTTATTCTATTCCCATACCTCCATTTTTATTAGGTATTTCTTTCTCTGACAAAACACCACCCCATTTGTCTCTAATCAAGTGCTTCATTACTTCTTTTTTTTTAGCTGTTTCTCCCTCTCTGTCCTAAACCTTCATTTTGTTTTCTGACAAGATATACTAGTTTTTAACCACAATGTCAAGCAGAAGATCACGTTCCAGGCAGTCAGGTGTTTCCAGGATCACAGATGATCAGATCACCGATCTTGTTTCCAAGTTGCAACAGCTTATCCCTGAGCTTCGAGGAAGGCGCTCGGACAAGGTACCAAACCAGTGGTCTTTCTTTTACATTTCTCTACTTTCTCTCCAAACCCATCATCCTCTCTCTCTCTCTCTCTTTCAACTTGGAATTCAATTTCGTTTCTCTCCTCCCTTCCTTTCTTTTGTGTGGCCTGCGTTTCACTTTTGTAGATAAGTCATATTCACAGCCTCATTTATTTTCATGTGGTGCATAGCAACAAGTTGAAGGTGTGGGACTCAATCTGTTCCCTTTTAGCATGCATCATGCTTAGCCATCACACTCAGAAAATGTATCAACAAACATTTCATGCTATCTAACCTCAACAAACCAAAAAACAATAAAACAAACAAAACAAACCCATCATTATTCTTAAACTCCCATGTTGTTTTTCTTAATCTTCTCTCTAAATTCTCTCCAGGTATCAGCTTCCAAGGTCTTACAGGAGACTTGCAACTATATCAGAAGCTTACACAGAGAGGTGGACGACCTCAGTGACCGGTTATCTCAGCTACTAGCTTCCTTAGACACCGATAGCGACCAAGCAGCCATCATCAGGAGTTTACTTATGTAATCAGCCTTTGTTTTTTCACTATATTTACTTACCTTCCATATATCTAGGGTTTGGTGATCACTAGTAGCAATGCAGAACAAGTGTTTAATCCTTGTCAAAGACTTGTTTTAATCAAGTCTATCAGCATATATTATAAAATAATAATAATAATAAGTCTTCTAGAGTTTCTAAATGTGTTGATTTACAGCTATGATTTTCCAAGGAAATCACTGCCCCATTTCAATGCACCCAAGATAGAAATTTCAAGCATAATTTTTTAAGATTATCTTCGGTTCTTCTGATGGTGACGCTCCTCATGGAATATAACATGAATATGGCAGATTTTCAAAGTATAGAGTCTACTCCCTTTGGCTATACACACACACACACACACGTTAATCTTTTCTGTTAATTTGCGTTTTAAGGCTATGATTAAGAGATATTGTTAGGAGTGGACCCCCGAAAGGGTCAACCGGCGGAAGCTGACAGTCTACTGACACGTGATTTACCGCACACCATTTCTATAGCTTGTAATAACATCATATGAACACGAACCCGTGAACCATGACATTCGTTTTTATTTTGCTTTTATTGGTTACGAAACAGTTTTAAGTCTACGCCGACGACTTTAATCTGATTTGAGTTTCACCGTCATTTCATATGCCTCATCCCTGACGAGCAAAGAGAGATCAGTGTGGGTCGAGATTAATTCACATGACGTGTTGCATGAGCATGCACGACTTTGATCATTAAGCCCTTCAATTAGGAACTGGTAAATAAAAAGGAAAAAAAATAACACTTTTTGTTTATTTTTATATGATTTTATAATTTCTTATTATCATCTTATCATTAAGGTTTTAGGGTTCCTCGGGGTCCATTTGTTTATATATATATATATTTTAAAGCCTTTCGCGTTCTTAATATTTGTGGAAATATCTTAACTTTTGTCCTTTGAAGATTTCACTATGCTCATTATATCAATTATTATCATATTATAAGTTTCCCTATATTCCAAAATGCAAAGGAAATACTACCATAAATTAAGAACGTAGGTGATATACATATTTCTTGCAAGGCAAATTATATGTCAAAGATACTTATTTATAAGTTACTCAGGCTTGAAATAATTATATATTCGTTTTTTAAAAATATATATTTTTCTAGAGAAAGAGCTTAAAGAATGATAAAAAAAAAAACAAATATTTGTACAGGTGATTACAATATAAATCTAGTAGAGTTGTCATACTTCCATGGTTCGGCAAAAATGCTTTGAAATTTACGATAAAATACTTAACATATTAATAGCATGTTAAGATATTCACGTGAGTTGAGTAAAAACAAGTTCAAATAAGGGATTTACATAGGACAACAATAACTTACAGGATATGTGGTAAGTGGGAAATTAATATGGTTAGGCAATATTGTTTTAAATTCACTTGCCGACTTTTTTGACACGTCATTTTAATCATAATATTACGTGCATATTATAATACGACGTGGTAAAAAAAATTATAAATTCACTTGTAAAATTTAGCTTCGTGAAAAAAAGCTCGGTAAGATTTGAGACAAGAAGACAGTTTGTACGATTCGACACAATTAATATTGGGCTGATGCTTTCTGCGCAATTCGGATAGAAAACAACTCTGATGGATCAGTTTGGTCTCCAGAAACAGTTGGTGAGGAAGCAAGTTTGTGTACGCATTCTTTTTGTTCAGGGGGAGTTTCCATCGTTAGCTTTTACTACACAGATTCTGTAATTTGTCTTCCCACGTATGTTTTTTTACTAGTTAGCAAGCATTTACCCCTTGCCTGCGGTTAAAAATCAAACTCTAGGCTCTACCTAAGCCCAGAAGATAACTTGGGCTTCTCTTTCTCTTTATCTCAAAGGCTGAAAATTGGTTTTGTTTGGGTTGGGTGATAGTACCCCTTGGAGAGGGTCTGGGTCGACGGTGTCGGTAGCCAGGTAGGAGTGTCATCGAGTTGAGTAGAGGAAGTCGATATAGTGTCAGGCTTGAGCTTGGTCCGATTAAAAAACTCGAAGCCGCTCGGTTGAGTTTTATATTTTTGTGCTCGGGCTTGGTTCGAAAAAACTACTAGAGCTATTCGAGCTCAGCTTGATTAGGCTCGATCCTCATTTAATTATATGAGAAGGTCGGCTCAAGTTTGAGTTTGAAATAAAAATTAAATAAAATTTAGAATACGTAATAATATTATATTATATTGTATATATAGAATATTAAAAATTAAATATTATAGAAATCGAACTGAGTTCGACTTGGTACTAAAGTAGTTCCAATGCGAGTTCAGCTTGATGATAAACGAGTTGAATTCAAGTCCAAGTAGTTTTAACTCCTTTGCACCTCTATTTGTAGATAAATGAATCACATGTTTGAATTTTTCTTTGATATTTTAACAGTATAATGCTTAATTAAGCTTTTAAATTACTTACAAAAATTTTAAAAAAATCGTTTTTTATCATATTTAATTAAATTCTTATATTTCTATTTTTGATCAAATAAATATTTATGACTAATGATTGATTAATTGTTATTAACTCAAATGTTGTTTATTATTTTATATCTATATGCCACAAACATGACGTTGATGTAAAAAGTAAAAAATGTCATATAATTATATTCTAATGTCAAATTAACAAATTACAATCATTATTAGTGATGATATACTAGCATGTTATGTTATCATCAATTATGATATTTTAATATATCATATCAACTCCATGAGATATAAAATGATAAATAATACTTTGACTAAGTTAAGTATTAGTTATAAAAGTTTATTTGACTAAAAATAAAAATATAAGAGTTTATTTGGCTCAAAATAAAAGTATAAAAGCATATTTGGCTCAAAATAAAAATATAAAAATTTATTTGAATGTAATAAAAATATAAAGATTTATTTAATTTTTTAAAAATAATTTAAGATTTTTTTGGTTATTATACCTATTTTAATTTAGAATTCAAACAAATAGATGAGTTCTTGCATCCTTTCTTCGACATAGTAAGCATTAGAATAAAAAAGAGTTTAGTGAGACACAATTTTCCCATCCTTTTGAGTTCAAAAACCCTTTAGATCTATTTCATATTACATCATGTATACCAAACCATTTGTTTTAGGATCTAAGACTAATACCCACTAAGACCTTAAACTTTTTCTAATCTTTCAATTCATTATTATTATTATTTGGGTTTAAGCAAATCATAGTCAATTGAACTTTTTATTTTTCTCGAAATCTTACGATATAATTATAATTTATTGACATAATATCTAACAAAAATTTTGAATTATTTTAAAATTTTTAAATAAAATTATATTATTTTATTACGTTCAATCAAACTTTAATGCTTTTATTTGATTTAAATAAAATTTTTAAAATATCATTTGTCATTTTATATCAAATGATGCTAACGTAGCATATAAATGGTAATATAACATAATAATATAATTATGTAATATTTTTTATTATTCATATTAGTGCTATATAAATATAAAATTATAAATAATATTTTGATCAATAATAATTAATCTAAGGGTTGATTTAGTATAAAATAAAAAATATAAGGGTTAAAATCAAATTCTATTTAATCCTAGTATCAAAAGAAAAAATAAATATAATTAATAATAAATTTTGTAATAAAATGAAAATTAAAAGAAGAAAAAGAGATGAATTCAAAATATCAAAAAAAAATTATTATTACTACTGGACTATAATTCCTTTTACATATATTCCTGCTATATTATGCTATACTTTTGAAATGTTAATGCGATCAACATCAAGTTTATAAAAATAAATATCTAAAAATTATGTACTTTTTCAATTGAATGTTCATTTTTAATCTACACTAAAATTATGCTTATTGTTCATATCATTATCATTTTTTATCCATAATTTTTGAATTTTGGCTTTTTTTTTAATTATGATTTATTCTATTTCGTTCGGGTCAAACAACCCGAACTCGATCCTAAAATAAAAGCGGGTCAAGTAACCGCCTTCAAAAGAAATATGGAAGCAACCAACAAACCGGTTTTCTTCAAGCTCCAGGTACACCGGCAGCCACGCGCGTCCCCCAGGTGTTCTTCCAGATTCTCCCTCTTGGATCTCAAGAATTTAATATTAAATTAATCTTTATTTTGCTATTTTTCTTAAATTTCTTTCTTGTTCGTGTGTGGTTTAGTTATTAACTGATTCTTGAATTTTCCGTCAATTAAATTTCTGTTCATGCTCATGATTCTTGAATCTTTTTTTTTTTAATTTAAGCTCAGTATTCGTTAATCCTTCGAGTAGGTGAAGAAATTTTCGAAGAGAAATGAATGATTTTGGATATGCAGTGGAAGTAACTGGCCTCTCTCCGAAAGCTACGGAGAAAGATGTTTACGATTTTTTCGCCTTCTCTGGTGCCATCCAACATGTCGAAATTGTTCGGTACTTTGAATTCTTAACAAAATTGCGATGATTTTGATAATTTTTATGTTTATCCTTAATATTTGTTTCTTGATTGGGATGAAGCAGGTCTGGTGATTATGCGTGTACTGCCTATGTGACATTCGAGAATGCTTATTCTCAAGAGACTGCCCTCTTGCTTAGCGTATGTGTTCGATTGTTTCGTTCAAAAGTTTTCAGTTTCTGTTTAGAATCTTGTGATTGATGCATCCCTAAATTTCAACTTGTTTATCAGGCAATCTGTTGCCTACAACATGTTTCTGGAATAAGGATCTTGAGCTTTATGTCAATGGCTGTTGTAGGTTAATTGGCTTCTTTATGCAAGCCTTTTGAGTACTCTTGAATGGGTAGGTAGGTTGGAAATGGATGGAAAGGAATATCATTGTGCACTTGTAGAAAATTTCTTAGACTCCGTTTGATTGATACTTTTACGATTTGAACCAAGATTAGCCGTAGTTACAAGATTGAAAAAGTTACATAGCAAAGGGAGAATGAGTGAAGACAAACAGTTAAAAGGAGTATTCTACTTTGGTTCAAGTGTAAGAACATAACCTTGAATCCAGACTCAGAATATGGGTATGTTTAGAAGAAATTGGATATGGAGGTTCATATCGGAGTAATGCAAGTATAAAGCTTTTCCTGTATTTATGATCATGATTTTGTTGTTAAAACTGATTATTATCTTGTTTATTGAATTTCTGCATTTTTATCTCTCTCTCTCTCTTTTGTCGTTATATCAAACTTTTGGCATCTGAACTAATTATCTATGTAGATTGACTTTTGAGTGAAGTATCTTGTTGCTCTATTTAGTTTCATTCCTTTATTTTTCCGTGTTCTAAGTTGATGTTTCGACATTGTATCGCAATTTGTAATCAAGATTACAGGTAATCTGAGTCTATGAATTGTGATTTTTCCATGATAATTATGTAATCTGTTTGTATTTGCTCTATAAAAATCTTAACAATGTAGGGTGCAACAATTTTAGATCAACGTGTATGCATAACGCGCTGGGGGCAATGTGAAGAGGAGTTTCATTTTTGGAACCCTTCAAGAAGCCACGAAGATGAAACAAGTTCAAGTGTATGCAACTTTTTATCTTTTCTGTGTCATGAATTGATCCTTTCGGGCAATTTTTCTTTAGTAATTGTGTTCCATCTTCTGCACTTTTTTTTCTGTCTTATATTGTAGCAACCTCCATTGGGAAGCCAATTTGCGTCTCATGCTGGAGAAGCTGTTTCGTTCGCTCAGGATGTTGTCAAAGCCATGCTGGCCAAGGGATATGTATTAGGCAAAGATGCTTTAACCAAGGCCAAAGCCTTTGATGAATCTCATCAAGTTTCGGCAACTGCTGCCACCAAAGTTGCCGAACTAAGTGAGAGGATTGGCCTCACTGATAAATTTTGTGCCAGCGTTGAGGCTGTGAGATCTGTGGACCAGAGATACCATGTATCAGAGAACACCAAATCAGCCATTTCCACAGCAGGAAGAACAGCTGCAGCTGCTGCAAACACTGTGATCAGCAGCAGCTACTTCTCCAGGGGAGCTCTCTGGGTTTCAGGTGCATTAGATCGGGCAGCTAAAGCTGCAGCTGACTTAGGTAATCGTGGTGTTCATCAGTAATGTTTTGGTACTCTTACAATTCCTGGTGGTGTGCATGAGCACCTTATTCTGTATGTATGGTTAGCAGTTTAATGCTTATGTAGAGCAAATATCCAGCAGTATACATAGTTAAAATAGGAAAGAACAAAGAACTACGCATGCATACGTTAATGAATATATGCTTGGGTTGGAATAGAAGAGCAGCATCTGATTTCCTTTTATCATGCAGAAGTTTCCATCTTCTCTTCTGTGCCTGTGGCAATTTTGAGATTTGCATTTTTCTTATGGAATGCTACATATGAAAAGCATAATGTGGTGGCATCATTTTCATGGAATTGAACTTCCATTTTCCAGTTAATGATTATCTGGATAATCTGCTTTGACTATCTTCTTCATAGTGCTGTAGCTAATCTGAAGAAAATATATATATATATATATAGAAATTTATGAATATTATTAAATATTGATGATCATACGCATATGATTAAAATCCATTGTATTATTGACTTGAAAAATTATGAAAACTTTTGAATATGATCGACCAATTAAACCGAAGGTGAATTAAGATCGATCCCTCCATTTAGATATTGACGTAAGTTAATTAAGGGGGATATATTATCCATGTACGAAATTATTTAATTAATTATTAAAATGATATGACATGATCTATAAACTGAACCTATCAATACAAGTAAAGTAAATATATTTTTATTAAATGTTATTTAATCACTTCAATTTTATAATATTTGGTGTTATTAGAAATCGATATTTTACAAATTTGTTTAATATATTAATTTCAACTATTTATGTTTTCGAGAAAATAAAAATTTATCAATGTACTACTCGATTATTTATATATATATATATATTTACTTTTATTGATATTTATATATCTAATTTCTTGGTTAGTTTTTAACCATAGGCTCCGGCATTCCACTTGTCGGTGGGCGACTTTTCCCTTGTCTAAAAAGCATCCCTTAAATCGCAAAAGTCCTTTAAACCAACGGTCCTGATCCACCCTTGATCTTGCCCCCGATTCAACATTCCCTTCGTCGCTTTTGGTTTTTTTTACTATGATGTCAACTTTTGTACTCACAACCCGACACGTCAGTATGACCGGTCAAAACAAGAAAACGGACTCAGCATCTAAAGATCTTCGAAACGCATCCGCATGTTTCTTGAGGCAGATGCGACGTACCGAACAACACAACCAGAAATTCGAGCGAGGCCGGTCAAGTCTTTTGTAATCTAGCAAAGGCTCGTCTCTCTTCCACACCCGCCCAAATTTGATCTGGTTGGATTTTCCTTTTCTCTAACCCTAACAATCAGAACCAGATTTAAAAAAAAAAGAGAGATTCTCATTTTTTAGTCAAAAATTTTTTAATGTGAAGGTTTAAATTGAGTCAGCTCGTGAAGGATAATCAGCGACTGAGTCAAAGAGGCCATGGCAGGAACTAGTGACTCAGTGTCGATCAGGGTTCCGTACAGGAAATTAAAGAAGCAATCGGAGGTTGAAATGATCGGTGAGCCTCATCATCGGATCGAGCTAAATTCGTCTCCGAACTTTCCTTCAACTTCTTCCTCGTCTCCTTCGGCGAGGATTCCCAATGGAAACTCTAACGTATCGTCGCCGATCGGCGTCAGATCTAAGGATTGTAGCTTGATGACTCTAGTTCTTAGTTGTACTGTCGCTGCTGGGGTTCAATTCGGTTGGGCTTTGCAACTATCGCTCCTGACGCCTTACATTCAGGTTCCTGCAATGCTTTTCTCTTTTTAGACTTGTAATTTGACCTTAGTTTAATTAAAATTTAACAAAAAAAATCACGTTCATGATTATGGATATGTTGAAATTTGAATATGATGCCATGTGTCTTAATTAAAATTTTGGTGTTCGCTGTTTATTATTTTTAGGAAATTAAAAAAATCACAGCACGGTGTAATTTTGTTGGCATTCCTGAATCACTTAACAAATAGTCATCTGAATACTTTTTGAGCATTGCTTAATTATTAATTTGGTTAATTTTCATGGATTTTGGAAAGAATTTAGGGTGTATTTACAAGTTGGAAAAGATAGATCATGGTGTTGAGAGACAAATATTTATTTGTTATTCTTTTCAAGAAATTCTTCTAATAATTTGTAGCATCTTTAACAATATCATAAAAGGTGGTCCTTTCAGAATTTGAAAAAAATAAAAATAAAAATATGGAGGGTGGTACCAGGTAGATAGCTGATTCTTTCTACATGTTGATTATTGACATGCAGGTGTGTTTGCGAGAGAGAGAAGAATATTATGTCCATGTTTCGAAGAACATTTTTGGATCATAAATTCTCGAAATCTTTTATCAAAATGCTTGTGCAACTGTATCTCTTTATTTGTTGTGTTGCTCATGTTTTTATTTGTATTTTATTTTATTTTCCTTAGCCTTGATTTCTTCTCCAGTGGTCTGAGCTTCTCTTGAGCTTATGATGCTTTCCCTTTTATTTCACTGATTCATGCAGACACTTGGAATAGGGCATGCTTTTTCTTCATTTATTTGGCTCTGCGGTCCGATAACTGGTCTTGTGGTAGGTGATGGAAACCATGTTACATATAACTTTATATTTATGGCTCTTTTCATTATTATGGAATCCTTATGGGTGTAACTGGATTTTTTAATTTGGTACCTTGATAAATCTGATATAGCAGCTTGTGCTGCATTTGGAACTGAATTTAGTTACTCATAAAAAGGCCGGGGCTGGGTATTATGTTTTGTAGGCCCTTATAGAAAGGGGGGGGAATGGGTGTACCCTAGAAGATTTAATTATCTGATTGCATAATAGTGCATTACTTTGTTTATTCAAAGTTTCATTTCCTCCCTTCATACCCCAGGGATCATGTGGTATTTTTATCCACGGAGGCAGTTGATCTGCTTAATGTTCTCTCTCTCTCTCTCTCCATGTGTGTGTGTGGGTATGTGCAAATTAGGAGGCAGAGATGTTTGTGATTGCAATGCTTCTTGGCTATAGATGTGGTGGTTCATAATAGATGTAAACGACTACAGCTAAAAGAAATCAGAGAAATAATTCCTATTTGTATCTATGATTTAGTGGGTTGCTCTGCATTTTGATCTTAGGTTCAACCTTGTGTTGGTATTTGGAGTGATAAATGTACTTCAAAATATGGAAGGAGACGGCCTTTTATCCTTGCTGGGTCGCTAATGATCTCTGTTGCTGTAAGCATCTAAGAACATGTTAAATAATTCACTCTTACATTCGGCCTTATATACCTGCTAAACTAAGTTTTGCAATTTAGGTGATAATAATCGGGTTTTCTGCAGACGTTGGATACCAATTAGGTGATACAAAGGAGCATTGCAGGTTTCATTTCTGCTTTTGATTCCTTCTCTTCTCTTATACCCCCTCCCACCCCAAGAAAAAAAATTAAAAAATAGATTGACTGAATAATATATGCAATGCAGTACATTTAAAGGTACGCGAACAAAGGCAGCCTTTGTCTTTGTTATTGGGTTCTGGATGTTGGATCTTGCTAACAATACAGTGCAGGTAAGCCTTCCATGGCAATTATTTTGCTGTTTTCTGTTGGCCCTTGTAAATGTATGTAAGCTAAATAATAGAAATTTTATTTTTTTAGGGACCAGCTCGTGCCCTTTTGGCTGATCTATCAGGTGAACTCCTTTGTTCTTAAGAAAAATGGCAAAAATTTTATTCTATACGTAGTAACTTTGTGATGTTTAGGTTTGATGCCTTTTCATTTACGATGTCCTAATACCACACATGCTTGAATACCGTGCTTGACAAGATGCTGCATGGCTATGTTTTAGGTCCTGATCAACACAATTCTGCAAATGCTATCTTTTGTCTATGGATGGCTGTTGGAAATATCTTGGGATTTTCGGCTGGTGCTAGTGGGGGTTGGCACAGGTGAAAATTTTTTCATGTGTTTTTATTGTGATGAAACAAACATTTTGGGACATATGTTTTACAGTTATTTGTTTCGTTGTTTACTGCATTTTGATATTGATCTATTACAAATTATCTTGAAACAGATGGTTTCCTTTCTTGATGAGTAGAGCTTGCTGTGAAGCCTGTGCCAATCTTAAAGCAGCATTTCTTGCTGCTGTGGTAAGTGTCATTATCCATTGAAGTTTCACACTGATAAAGCATTCGAGGATGTTAAACTCAAATTCTCCTCCTAACTGTTACTTCTGTACGTTTGATTTGTCAATTTATGGCTTGAATTATGGTATGTCACTTTGACATACTTAGTGTATATTCAAATAAAGTGTGTAAAGAAAATGAGCATGGCATTTACTGAGATTTTGATTGAAATTGTTGATCTGAAATACCTTATGCATTGCATATGTTGTGTGGACCATTCTTTGCTTTTATTATTGTCCTGCCTAAGAAAATCATTTTCTTTCTTGTTGGGCCATATATTCTGATGAGGTGACCTAGAATTAGTTGTTTCTGCTACTGTCTGAGATTAACTATGAAGACTTGTAGTATAGCTTCTCTAAACTTTGACTGCCTTTTCAATAGTTAGTTACTGTGTGTGAAGGCCAAGTTTGTGCGTTTTGTGGTCAGATGCATTTTCTAACATATTTTTTTGGATGCCATCCTGTATATGTTGAAAATTTGTTTGGCATGTGCAGGTGTTTCTCTCATTTTGTACTGTTGTTACTATATGTTTTGCTAAGGAGGTTCCACTTTCACCACCAGCAAATCAGCCAACTCGTTTATCAGATTCTGCTCCTTTCTTGGATGATTCCACAGAAAATGGCTTTCAACACTCAAAATCAAAAGCTGATGTGTCGATTGTTGCCAATGCTAATAGGACCAATGCTGAAAATGGATATGAACAAGTGTCAAACTCCAAGTATGCTGACTCAAAAGATACAAATGTTAAAGGTGAAGTTTTCAATGATGGGCCTGGAGCCGTACTGGTCAACTTATTGACCAGTTTAAGACATTTACCACCTGCAATGCACTCAGTGCTTATCGTTATGGCTCTCAATTGGGTAAGTCTCAACATTCTTATCCCTATACTTTGATTCCTTGAAATTGGCCTTGAGCCAATTATCTGTTCATAGATATTAGACAGTTAAGGACTGTTAACATTTTCTTCTGATGGTTGGCTACAACCCATGGTTATTGTTTTCATGTGTATTTGGGTCTTATTTTCAGCTGTCCTGGTTCCCGTTCTTTCTATTTGATACGGATTGGA